AGTCATTCTGGTGGGGTCTCCATGACCTCCCTGAATGAGAGAACAGGTGACTCATCACAGCTACAGGACATATCAAGATAGTCCCATAGTCCCCTGGGACTTTGTCAAATTTTGAGGGCAAGAAACAAAACGTTCCCTTAAGCCCCTTTGACCAGAATGTTATGGGCTTTTAAGTATGGTTATTAACCATCCAAGAAGTTCAGTTTCACCAGCCTGGTACCTTTAATTACTGTGTAGTACACAGATAAAGCTTGAAAAAAAACTAAAAGTTCTCAAATAAACATTTACTGGAAGAGATTTACCATCACAGGTTAACTAGGCACAGCCCAGGAAAGGGACTTTAAAGCGAGATTTTTTTTATGTCTGTCTCAAATGAAGGGTGTTCTATTACAAATAGAAGCAGTCTCATTTTAGTTTCCCATATCCTGATTCACAGTTTTCAGAAGGAAGGGAGGCATCATATCACATACCTATGGACACTAATTAAACTGATCAGAATTCAGACCAAGCTTCACCAAAACTGTTTTCTTCTAGATTGTATACATCTGGTTCAAGGAAGTAAAACCTAGTTTTTCTTGAACCGAATTTTTCTTGCTGTGGGCAAAAGAAAGTTCCTAAAGTAACATTTGCATAATACAGAGAAACATAAAAGACATCCTTCATTAGCCATAGGTAACCCAATACTTGTCTGTACCCATGTAATCCAAATCTGTAACCCAGTGTGAAGTACAAGCCAGAGAGTGGAATGAAAATGAACAACTCTCTATCTTGATAAATCTTTAATAAATTTGCTTAAAATTTCCAATATCCCTTCCATTCTGGAAATATCATGTCATTTTAATCTTTATAGATAAATTTTTATTAAAATATTTATTTTATATTTTTTACTAATTTAACCCTTTTAATACTATGAGACATAATGACATTTACATAAATTTACCATTTATTGTGCTAATTCACTTCCTGGGGAAACTAAGTAATGTTTATCCCCTTTTTAAAGGTTCTAGTGTCAAACCAACTTTTGATTACATTGAATCACCCTGGGTAACTGTTAAGGTTTGTATCTGCAGCAACTCCCTCCCCAGTGCAACAGGGCCTCATGGTTTTGCAGGCCCCCTGGAATTACAGGGACTGAGTTATGAACACCCTGACTGCCTGAAGACAAGATAAACAGACTCCCTGTACCTATGACCCAAGACCCAATCACTACAAGAGCTGTTTCAGCCAAGCCTGTTTCCCCTTTGATAATCTTAGAAGGCAAACAGACCCCTGTACCTCTGACTCACTGATGTAGGAACTGTTTCAGTACAAGCTATTTCATCTGATAAGTTCACAGTGTATAGACCCCTTATCCCATGACCCAGATCCTGGCTGACAGAAGGGAATGGAAGGGGGTGATTTGACAGAGGCTGTCCTCTCTTGATAAGCTCTGAATTCTCTCCCCCACCTAACTTGTTTTAAGAAATATCTTCCGCTTTCCTCATCCCCCCAAACTGCCTATAAAAGCCCCCAGCCAACATCTTGTAAACCATCAGCTCCTCTCTCCCAAACTGGGGACTGTCCTGTGTGTTTTCTCTGCCAACAAACTCTATTCTGCCGCAGTTCTTGTCTATGTCCTGGTGCTTTCTCCCAATTTGACTTGATTTACCTATCAGTAACCAATGAATTTACTGAGTTTACTTACAGATATGAGTGATGGATTACTGAGGTACATGGGTGACCTGAGAGTACTTGCACTGGAAAGCCTTTACCCAGCATGGATGCTGGCTTTTTATGACCTCATGGGTCAAGTAGGAGACCATTTGCAATTAGGGCAGTATTACATACAGCTGGCTGGGAAGAATGGCTGGATACTCTGGTGAGAGTTCAGTGACTCTGCTTATCCCTCCTTTAATGAAGGCAGATAACCATCAACAAACCCAATTGTGATGACCTTTTGTAAGCAGGCACACCTGAAATCATGAAGATAGCAGTTCTTTGACTCAGGAGAGTGCTGTGCAGCAGCATCTTATTAAAAGAACATAAAACCCAAATTACATACATTAAGATAATATAATGAGTAAATATTACCAATTATAAAGCCAAATTCTCTCCTGGGAGACCTGAGAGCAAGTTCTCTCAGCTTCCAGGCCCCACACTGTCCTTAGTCTGACTGACAAAACCAACACAGTGCATTCTGTTCGGAGTTTCTGTATAGTTTATGATGTCTAAAAGAGAGTTACTTATGAAGGCATGTATCTGTGGGTTCTTTCCCCTACATCTCTGCTGAACATTCCAGATCCACCCCCACCAGATCCTCACCAAGATGACGACTCTCTGAAGCCTCCCCCACTTCTTCTGTGTCTGTCCTTAGACCAGCCCCTCATGCAATTGAAACTGACTGATTGGATGGAAGGAGTGACTGTCTTACCCTCTGTCTACGGAGTCTCTTAGGGTTCATTGCTAGTTCTTTCAGAGGACATGCCTATCCAATACTCCACCGCTTCCTCCAGGTCTCACAATCTTTTCTGCCAATCTTCTGAAAGAGTCCCTGAGCTGTGGAGGGGGTGAAAGATGCAGGAAGATCTTTCTTTTATTATAGCAAGATATTGAACTCCTGTTCCTCCCCATCATCCACGTTCAAGATGTGGCTATTGATCCATCTCAGTGGTATCTCCCCTACTATAAAGACAAATTGAAAGAAGCAAACACATCTATACAAACGTGGGGGTAAATACAAAGATACTTTAGCAGGTGTACCATACTTATCGAACAAAATACTTGCAACAGCTTCCCCATTGGGGCCTATAGTGTTCCCTGACACAGGAGGCTGGCCTGGTCTACAGCACCAGATGTGTATTCCACCCCTGGGAGTGGGCCTTATCCAGTTCAAATTTGTTGGTTGTATGTATGTTAACCAAGCCATTATTGCACAGGAAGGCATTGCTTGGCATGACAATAATATGCAACATGAGGGGTCAATTCTTGAGCAGAATTATAGGGGATCCTTCTCCCCCAACCATTTGCATAGCTCTTTCTGGCACTATGAAAGCCATCCATCCAATGGCATGGAGTTTTCAGCTTAGTCTCAGCTCTGTCTCTCCCTCTCCCATGCTCACATGCAGTGTCTTCAGCAAGATGGCCTTACTGACATTAGTGGCAATAGCCTTGGTTAATTTGAGGACTTCTAGGATCTCTCTGGCCAACATCTCATAGGGTGGCAACCCACCCCTGGTACTGGAATTTTCATGTACTAATTGTACAGATTTGGGAACCTTTGTTTTTATTTTCATACAGGATTAGGCTGTTGTAGACTCCTTCCAACTGTATTAGTCACTTTTCTATTGCTGTGATAGAAACACTGACCCAAGCAATTTATAGAAGGAAGAGTTTATTTGAGCTTATGTTCCAGGGGAATTACAGTCCGTCATGGCAGGGAGGCATAGTGGCTGGAGGTGGCTGGAGCAGGAGCAGCTGAAGTGAAGCTCTCACATCATCACACAGGCACAGGAAGCAAGAGGGCAACCGGAGATCTGGCAAGGTTTAAGAAATCTCTAAGCCCACCCCCAGTGATGTGCTTCCTCCAGGATAGCCACACCTTCTAAAACCTCCTAAACAGTGCCATCAGCTAGGGACAAAATTCCAAACACTTGGAGCCTATGGGGCACATTTTCATTCAAACCACCACACCAACCATCCTATCACTTGTGTCTTACCCACCCACAAAGCCCCCAAGAATCCTATACCTATAGCCGGCTTTTCTTTCTTCAGGTGTACTTGATATCTCTAAAATGGGTTTCATATCTGTAAAACATTCAGAAGTTAACATTGTATATGAATTCAAACACAGACAAGGTCTAACACAGCATGGAAAGATTTTAATCATTTGTATTGTTTTCTCAACAGATCTCTGTTGGGTACCATAGCATGGATAAGAGGCATTAACTTGGATAGCTTTTTTTTTTTTTTTTACCTATCTTTAGTTATCCCTTTGGAATCATTCTGCATTCTGGGGATTTTACATGGAGCCCCTGTATTTTTTTATACTTGATAAATTTATGGGTGCCAGCTCAAGTTGCCTGACCCTGCACTGGACTGAGGAGGCAGTGGGTCTCTTTTGCCCCTGTTGCACCTGTTGGTTCCCTGAGTCAGGTAGGTCCTGGGTCTGCTTCATGGCTCTAGCCATATCTTCTGCCTCTCCATTGACCATACCTGGCTGCTGGTGGAGGCCCTGGTGGGAAAAATTGCCTCCACTCCTAGTATAGCCTTTCTCAGGAGAGAAATGTAATTTGTGTAATTTTGGGGGGTCCTTAACCACCCCTGGGACATTTTTTATTCTTTGAATGCCTTTTGTGAACTGTTCATCAGGTTTTAAAGCCTTCCAGAAACTCCTTAGTACAGAATTTGGTTTTTCTGTCAATTTTTCTTTAGGGACATGGGCTAGCCATAAATCTTGCCACATTTGTCTTTGAGTAACCCAACGGGCCTCTTTTTCTGCTTTGTCTTTTTTATATTTCTTGTAAGTTGTTCTATTATTTCACAGACACATTTTACACGATGGTTTGAGTCACTTAGATCTACAAAGATTTACAAAGATCCTTTCCCATTTAGGGACTTAGTAAAACCATTAAAGCTCCACACCTGTTGGGAGCCATGCTTGCCATAAGCATTGGAAATTAGAAGAGTGCCACTTTAAGAGCTTCTGAGCTCTCCGCTTCAGCAGTTTGAGCTGACAGGCTGTACCTGCATGATAAATCAAGTCTTCTAGAAAGTTAGTTTTGGTTCGGTCTGAGTGCACCAGTACGTGCTGTATCCATAGTTACTCTTTTGTTTCTGTTAGGAAAATCTTCTTGGTAACCCCAACTCTGATTCCTATATAAGATCTGTGTTCCTCACAACAAAAAACCATTCTGTGATTGCTCACCTGACTGCTAAGAATTAAACTTTTTATAAAATCAAGACCTTTGTCTTGACTCTTCTCTTGTTGAAGACCCAAGCCTGGTGGGCTTGGGGGGCATTTGACAAATGGCACCCAACATGGGGCTCGAGGGGTCTGAGGAGAGACCCCCCGAGGAGAGATTCCCAAACTCAGGTGAGTATGATAAAACAGGTAACTAAAATGAAATTGGGAGAACCTGCTTTTCCTTGTTCAGAATTGAAAGCTGAGTGCAAATGTAAGCATAAAGCACTGGTTCGGGCCCTACGGGTAAAAGTAGAAAGTCTTCAAAAACGTGTTGCAATATTAGAAAAATGTTTAGAGGCAAAAATAGTCACCAGTAATGCAGTCTCTAAGACTTCAGAGTCAGAGACTGTACAGGAGTCTGCTGGTTCTGTGAGATGGGACAATGCTGTCCAGGAGAAGCAGCTTGAAATGGACAGACAGCTACAGCATATACAGGAACAGTTAAACTCATTGGCAAAGCAAATAGGTATTGAACAACAAAAGTTGCCTCTTAAAGGAGCCTCTAAGCCTTCTGTTCTTGCAGATCTACATCCACATCCCCAGAGAGAAAAGAGGAGCCTGTAATTGTAAATGCAAACAATTCCTCTGTTTCTTCTTGTCCCCTGTCTCTGTCACTACTACAAATGAGTGTGCAGCATGCGGCTGTGACTGGAGAGGATATATCAGGATTTAGTCTTTTTCCAGTCATGGAACAAGATGATGGCCAGGGAAATAGGGTTAGGACACATCTCCTTTTTCTATTCAAGCAGTTAAAAGAATTAAAATCTGCCTGTGCACAGTATGGACCTACAGCTCCCTTTTACTCAGGCTGTGCTAGAATCTATGACTACTGAAGCTTTGGCTCCTAATGATTGGAAGCACCTGGCCAGAGCCTGTCTGTCAGGAGGAGATTATTGTTTATGGAAATCAGAATTTGGAGAATTCTGTCAGGCTACTGCTGACCTTAATAGAGCTCAAAATATTCCTATTACTTTTGAGGTGCTTGCTGGTGAAGGCTAATATAGAGAGAACAACAAAAAAACTTCCCCTTTGATGCCTATGTTCAAACTAGTGCTGCAGCAAGAAAGGCTTGGAATAACCTGCCAACATCTGGAAGGCAGACCGTGGATTTGACTAAGATTAGACAAGGTCCTGATGAACTTTACCAAGATTTTGTATCTAGGCTGTTAACGGCTGCAGAAAGACTCCTTGGTGACTCTGACACAAGTTTACAGTTGGTGAAATATTTGGCTTATGAAAATGCTAATTCTGCATGTCAAGCTGCGCTCAGGCCTTACAGAAAGCAGAGCAGCTTGTCTGATTATATTAGACTTCGTTCTGATATTGAGCCTTCCTATACACAGGGAGCAGTTTTAGCTGCTACCTTGCAGAACAAGACTATAAAAGATACTTCATTTCACCAGCAAAAAGGAGCTAAAAAATGTTATGGTTGTGGACAAGTAGGTCATATGAAAAGATACTGCCCTCGCGGCACCTCTGACTTCAGTTAGAAGAAAGGTCCTGGAATCTGCCCTGGGTGTAAAAAAGGCAGACACTGGGTTAATAAATGTAGATCAAAAAGAGATCTACTCAGCAATCTTCTCTTGACAAACAAGAGGAGCAGCCAGCCTCAGGCTTTGAGACAACATTCTCAGACCCCAAGGCAATGTTTTGGAACATTTCAGGGAAACAACAATTCATCTCAAGATTTTTCTGAACGACCTCAAGCAGCGGCGGAACCAGTTCTTTGTACTGGCTTTAGCCATGCAGGCATAAGCCCTGCCAAGGACAATTCTTGGCCCTCTGCCTCCAAGATAGGCAAGTCTAAAGGTAAACATCATGTTTCTACAATAGAATTGTTCAATTTCCCCTAAAAGTTATTGATACAGATAGTCATGTAAATATTATATGAGTTCTAAAAGCCTCAAAATTTAAGCATCTAGACATGCTGTTTCCATATGCTAAAAGCTAACTCTGGAAGGAAATTGTTAACCTTTCACTTCAGACTTAAGCCTGTTCTTTTCAGTCTTGTTCTCAGAAGTTTTCCAGGTTCAGGCTGGCTCCCTGGCCCTGAAAAAGGAAAGAGAACATAAAAAAAAAAAAAAAAAAAAAAAACCAGCTTGATAATATGAGGCATTATTAATATATTGGATTAGTTGGTAAGATAAAAACTTTAATTCCAATTGTTGAGTTTGTTTAAATGTCCATGGATACCTATCTTTTCACATGTGTTGATGGTACCCGGGTAACCGTATTTCTAGAACAGGAAAGTTCTAGAGCTAATTTCAGTATTGTTCTGCTACAAGGGTTATTCTGACAAACAGCGCCTTTAAAAACTCTTGTGAATTCACTTTTAAATTGCACCATTTTAATGAAGTCTACTTTCCATTTTCAATTTATTGTGTATACTCACTATGTGTAGACATGTTTCAGATTAAAATTACCTCAATTACCTGTGCAGTACTGCTTCAAATATGTGTTTTGTCTGTTTTATATGTCTTGTATGTCCAACTGTTTGGATCCATTTAATATTGTGCGCACTTCTCAAGTTAAATCCTTTAATTAGATATACTGGTACCAGTTGCTATAATTCAAAAAATATTATAATTAATGCCATTTCTCTTAAAATGGATGCTCTTTTCAAGTTGTTTACATGATTTTCTCTTTTCAGTTTAAGTTTCTATAGTTACCTATTACCTGTTCTAAGCGTGTTATTTTAAAGCTTTGTGTTATGTTACCTTAGAACCCCATTGATCCTTGCTTATTTGTGTCACCCTTGACTACTTGTTTCTAGATGTGTCTAACATAAGGTAATGGTTCTGTATTAGTTTGTTGAGTGTTGTCGTGAAAACTTGTTTGGTATAAGTAACCTTTTTTAATTACAGGACATTACTGCTTTTCCCTGCCTTTTTCAAAGCTTCAAGGAAATAAGATTAGATGCCAGATTTTACAACTTTAATATTCTTGTCCAACAGTTAACTTTCATTTACAGTTTCTAAAGATCTTGGATCTTTGTTTCTTATGCATGCCTTTATTAGTAATCTTTGTTAAGTAAGTTGTTCTTTTCATGTTTGTTTTACGTTACCTTAGATACCTATATTGTGTTGTTAAGGTCACTCTTTTGTTTACAGGAACCTCTCTATTATTAATTGATATCTCCCTGCCTACAGTGTTGCCACATTATTGATTTACATTTTCATTGGTTAAGTCTGTTTTATGTTGCCTTGTCTACTTCCTTTGTGTTATATAGGATACCTTTTTTACTTTCAGATATCATTGATTAGCTTCCACTTCTGGTAATCACACCTTGAAGTATTTACAGCTTGGAACGTTAAGACAGAGACTATTTATAGTAAGATTGAGTTATCTTAATCTTATAATTTGTAGATTTTAATCTTTTCTTCTCAGGTTGCCTCCTGTCTTTAGGAATTCTACCACTAACTTTTTACTTTGCTTTTAGGTTTTATGGGCTGTAGTGCTCCGTTTTCAGACTCCGCTGCTTCTGCTATCATCTATAACCATGCCTTCCTCCCATAAAGAAAACCTGTGTTTATTCACATTTCTTTTATTCATTTGGATTTCTCCTGTTGAAACTGCGAACATTTATTGGGCTCATGTACCTAATCCTCCTCTTCTTCATCCTTATACTTGAAAGGAGCCTACTATTGAAGTTCCTACTTTTCCTATGAATGTTTTGCCACCTCCTTATGGAACAAATCAGCCAGATTTTCCTGATGAAAAAGAAACAGTTTTCAATTATACTGATATTATGTGCTTTGAAGTTCCTCCTTGTTGTCCTATCAGACAACAGGATTGGGTTGCTCCAGAGGATTGTGGAGCCCTGCTCATCCACACATGATGCATTTTTCTGCCCAGTCCATAGGTTCTAAATGGTCAGAGTATGAGACTACAGCTGCTCCAGCTCTCTCAGAGTGTGGGAGCTTTTCCTATGATCAGATATTTAAAAGACAATCTTCGATATGGCAAGATTGTAAAGGCTTGGTAAAAAAAAAAAAAAAAGAAAGAAACTTTATAGGTCCTAAAATCATAATTGGATTGATTGGGGTCCTTTAGAAAAATTGGTTACAAGATTGTACAGATTCTAAGGAGTTTGTCTCTGAGTGTGATCTACACAATGTTGTTCCTATAAAAGATACGTTTAATACTACTAATGGTATAATTTGGGTAGATGGAGGCATAGCTAATCCTTGACCTTAGTTGAGAATGGGACATACCTTATATCCTCCTCAAATGCATATTTGAAAATTGCTAACTGCTCTTAAGCCTGTAAAAATCTTTGATGGAGCTTTTGCTATTACTTATGATAAGGTATTTTATGACTTTACTAAAGTTAAAAAGTACAATGTTTTAGCTTGTGTCCACTTTCCTCTAGTAATCTTAATTAGACATGTGGTCATTCAGGACTTGAACATAACTTGCCAAAATTGATTTTGACTCAAAGAAATTCTTTATGGATTCCTGTGAAAATGCATCATTCCTGGAAAAGCAGTCCTGCTCAAGGATTGATTCTGAGATTTTTCAAATGGTTGTTACGGTGTGGTAAACACATGATTGGTCCGATTGTTGCTGCTATTTTAGGACTTATTGATTTGGCTGCTACTGCTACTACTGGTGTGGCACTTCAGAAGTCTGCTCAAATGCAGACTTTTGTTGAGCGTTGGCATGACAACTCCCATAAGCTTTGGACTTAACAAGCTCAGATTAATGCCCACTTACAAGATGAAATCATGGCTTTACAAAGCAGATCTCATTGGTTAGGCAATCAGCTTCTGGAACTGCAAAAACTATACAATATGTATGTAATTGGAATTCTACTCAGATTTGCATTACTCTGTATAAGTTTAATGCTTCTCTTTATAAATGGCAACATTTAGAAAAGTATATTCAAGGAAAAATGGATAATGCAACGTTTAGTGAGATGCAATTACAGGAAAAAATCTATGCAGCATTTTCAGAAGAAATGCCTTTGGCTACTTCTATTGATCAGGTAGCTGCTTCTTTAGCAAATACTCTCTCTGGTCTTAATCCTCGTGGATGGTTTCAGAGTATTTTACATAGTTCTGGATTTTCTTTGATTACCTTGATGATTGTGTTTGCATACTGTTTGTGGGAGGTTGCTGTGTTTTTCGTTGCCTGCAGCGGCAGGCTCACAAGTGGGCTGCAGAAATTATTCTTTCTTTCCTTCATTTTCAAAAGAAACATGTAGCTACAATTACAGATTAAACATTAAACAATGCCTGACAGAAGACATAAAATGATACCCTTGAGCTTTCTCCACAGGGTCTCACTTTCTTGATCTCAGATGCCCTAAGTCACTCTACAGCTAATAGGTTGTGGCATCCTTCTTTTTCCATGAGACTGCCACTCTGACATGGCCAGGTCCAGTCCTCCCTTAGGGAAGAGGGCATGTTTCTGTTTTTTCCGCAGGATGCTGACTGTGCACGTGGGTTGCTACAATGCCTCATTCAGTTTACTGAATCTCCAGATTCTACGCCACCTGTGTCATCATGTTGCACCGCCTGATGTCACCAACCTGCTCTTCGTCTTTCCCTGAACTTTTTCACGCTTCCTTTGGACTGTTTCCACCGCATGGCACCCACATTCTACTGCTCTGGACTTTGGCTATAATGCCACCATATGGACTTTGATTATAATGCCTTCTTATGGCCTTTCCCCGTGATTTGTGCACCATTGTTCTGATAATTCCTGTATTGCACCTCCCTTTCTGTACCCCGTGTATGCCCTTGGGTTGTTGTTTCCTTCTTTTTCCCAACTCCCCATTGGTGTCCTTTTGTTTTACACTTAGAGGGGGGAATTAAGCCCATGACAGCCTAAGCCTGTAGTGCCCGCACACCGACTACCGCATACCGACTAGAGATAAGAGATACTAGCGCAGCTTCAACAACCGGTTAGGACCATCAACAACCAGTTAGGACCATAGAAATTCACTGGTTAGGACCATAGAAATTCAAATTTCTATAGAAATTCACATTTCTATCTCAGTGGCACTATGCACCAGCATTATTTCCCGTTTCTTCCCCAAGGCTGTGGCCTAGTGACAGGAGCCTTCGGAGGCCAGTTAGCCAGTGACAGGTAAGATCTTCTCAGAGGAAAGCAGGATGCCGGCCACCCCCAATGGCTTTCACTCTGGTAGAGGATGACCTAAGACAGGCACGGTCTTTCCATCCCAGTCTTGGCATACACTTAATTTTCATTTAAAACAATATAAAAAGAAAGGGGGAAATGTCGAGAGTCATGCTCGCCATAAGCATTGGAAATTAGACGAGTGCCACTTTAAGAGCTTCTGAGCTCTCCACTTCAGCAGTTTGAGCTGACAGGCTGTACCTGCATGATAAATCAAGTCTTCTAGAAAGTTAGTTTTGGTTCGGTCTGCGGGCACCGGTACGTGCTGTATCCATAGTTACTCTTTTGTTTCTGTTAGGAAAATCTCCTTGGTAACCCCAACTCTGAGTCCTATATAAGATCTGTGTTCCTCACAATAAAAAACCATTCTGTGATTGCTCACCTGACTACTAAGAATTAAACTTTTTATAAAATCAAGACCTTTGTCTTGACTCTTCTCTTGAAGACCCAAGCCTGGTGGCCTTGGGGGGTGTTCAACACACACCATTCTCGAGGTCCCTGTTGAATTAAACTTTTCAAAAAATCTCTGGTGAACACAGTCCTATCTCATCTAGAAAACTGGATATCATATATTGCTTTCCTCATACCTAGTTCTCTCAGTAACGCCTGTCTGTTTTCTATGGTCTTCCAGCTCCTGCTAACCATGGGAGCCTCCATTAGTGATGACCAAGTATCTTTAATGCCTCACACAAGCCATTTCATTATGGTCTGCTCTCCCTGTATTTGCCTAGGCTAAACAGCCTATATCTCAAGAATGGAAGGGTGGTTATATAACTCAGCTGTGATGCTTCTAAAGGACCCATTTGGTCCCATGTCCCATATCCTCATGAGACATGTGATGAGGGGCTCCTTTATTGCTTGTTTGAAAGTCTTCCCTAGTTCCAACAGCTCCAGTGTGGACTATTTTCTGCTGGCTGCTGGCTACAGTATTAAGGCTTTTATCAGCATGTTGAAACATGACTTTTTTCTCTTTTTGTATTAATGGTTGAATCTGAGGAGCATCTTTAGATATTTTTATTTCTAGGTCATTTCCTTCCTCATTATGAGGTTCTGAGGCCAATACTGAATTTTCCAGTAACTCCTTAGTCTTTTCAGTCTCCTCTGGGTCTATTGTCTCAGTCTTGGACAAATCGTTTATCATACACAGTAGGGGTTAAGCAGCTTCAGCAGAGGCTTTTTTTTCTTTGAATTCCCATTTTGCTTCCATGGCTTGTAAGATTTTGTCTAGACGTTCCACAGCCCCTAAAGAATTTTCACACACATGTGGCAGCAACCCCCATAGCTCAAGCAACTATGCTATTTTATACCATTTACAGGATGGCAGCCACCCAGAGATTCCCCCCATTGAATTTGTCCACATCTGTGTAGGTGGCTTCACTTTAGTTACATGTTTTACTATCCATCACATAATACATGTGACTGCCGCTAACCCCATTAAGCTTATGGGGCTTGCCCACACTCTTTCCCTCCAACATTGCTTCAGCCTTTTTCCATATCAGAAGTATCATCTTTCCAAACTCCTGCAGTTTGTTGTATTGTGCTGTGTATCCAGCTGCACTCTGCAAATTTGTAAAGCCAAATTCTCTCCTGAAAGACCTGTGCACATGATCTCTCAGCTCCCAGGCCCCACTCTGTCCCTACGCCCCACTGACAAAATCAACTCAAAGCATTCTATTTGTGTTTTTTTTTTGTATAGTTTATGATGTCTGGAAGAGACTTACTTACAAAGGCAAGAACCTGTGGGCTCTTTCCCCTACATCTCAGCTGAACTTTCCAGATCCCCTGTCCCCAGATCCCTGCCAAGATGGTGATTTTCCGTTGCCTCCCCCTCTTCCTCTGTGTCTATCCTTAGGCCCTCCCCCCATGCAATTGAAGCTGACTGATTGGATGGGAGGGATGGCTGTCTCCCCCTCTGTCTACAGAGTCTCTTAGGGTTCAGTACTAGTTCTTTCAGGGAACACACCTATCCAACATCCATGTAGATGCTGTGTTTTATATGTTCCCAGGTAGACCATATAGAAAACACAAAAATATTAAAATCATTTTACTTTGTGTAGTGCAGAGAGTGGTCTACCAAAGAAGGACTATAAACACTAGGTAGAGAGAAGCAAGTATTACACAAATTCTGGCATAATCACTTAAAGAAAATGGTGCTATAACCCTGCTCTGATTTTAATAAACCATTTTAATAACATTTACAAACAAATTTACCAAGCAACTAATATTTTACCTCATATATGAAAATAGAGATGAAAAATTATCTTAAATATATTATTTTAATGTATAAACTTTGAGATATCCTTGAGATGTCTTTGTAAGCCTTGAAGCAGGTTTTAAATGACCAAGTCTCCTTTAAAGGTTTACAGATGTTTTACATAGACTTGGAAAACGTTTATTTTATATAAAACCTATCTAAGCACAGAGATAAATTGCAGAAGTAATCATTTCTTAAAATTAATTTATACTTTTAAGTAATAGGAACGATGTTGCAATTTAACAATTTTAGCTTATATGAGAACTTACAAGTCAATTTGATATCTAGTTAATTATTATTATTATTTAGTAATTTCCTTAGTATTAAACATAAATCTGTACATTTACAATAGTTGCATACTACAAATACTGTGGTTAGACAGAATGTCATGACAAACCAATTTCAAAACCAAAACCTTGATGAAATTCTGATCAGAATAAAATGTAAATTTAAAAGTCAAACTAATAACATTTAAAATCTTTTATAGTTTACGTGGTACAAGTGTATGTAAATAAAGGAAACCTTTAAAAGCCAGTAGTACTTCACACACACACACACACACATACATACATACACATGCACACACAAACACATATATATGTGTGTGTGTATGTATGTATGTATGTATATGAGAATCTCATCTTGGAAATGGCTGTGCTGAACAGAGTCATGCATGATACTAGGCATAACATAAACAACTCCAAAATTATTATTAATTCTGGATTATCAGTGTACCCCTCATTGTTTTGCACTTGAAGAAAGCATTTTCAGAAATATCATTTATGTTTTAATTCAGTAAATTTTCCTACCCGGGTTTCAAACTCAACAAGCAATGGAAAACAGAATTATACATTTCATTTGTACTTAAGGCTAATCATAGCCAAAAGTTACAGTATGACTAAAACAAGCTAATGTTTAAAGAGTTTTCATTAAAGACAATTCCATGAAATAAGAGGGCAAAGAATGAGCTGACAATAAGTATTTATTCCTAATAAGGCAATACAGCATGCTCCATTATTAAAGACCATTTAAGATTGACAATATCAAAGGTACATAGTATAAGAAAACAGTTTTCATGAGTATGATTCAATTAGTTGTTTTCAACTAACCCTTTCCCACAGTAGCATACAGGAACTTAGAATGAGAGATGAAAGCACAAGCACACAGCACACAGGGTCAGAGGAACCTGCAAGCCAAATTTTCAGGGCTGGCAGTCTGTGACAGCAACAGCTCAGGCTCAGGGTGGTCTTCTGTTTCCTATCAGGAAGAAGGGAGGGGGAAAGATTGCAAAGGAAGCAAACCCAAAATCATATCACTGCCAGAACACTGTTGAAGAACACATATTGTAGAGAACAGTGGTGAATTAATTATTGGAGATGTCTAGAAGTTGTTCAGTGTATGTGTAAAAGTACATGGTAATTTTTACAAGAAAAACATAATGTTTTTAAGCAGTTATTCTGAATACATTGTCGTTGTCTCATTTTGTCTCAGGCTGTTCTGGAGGCAAAAGACTGGCTCAGGCCATCTTGGGGATCAGTTCTTACAAGGTACCCCAGAAGAAGCCATATGCTACTGTGTCTAACTCAGGTGTCCTCTAGCCAGAGAAACAAAGGCACATCTGCCATGTGATCATCTGCAGGAGCCTAGGAAAGCTCTTCCAGGTATCAGAGACCTCTATTCAAGCCAAACTAAGATTTCTGATTTCAATTACTGATGGGAGTTTTAGGAATAGCTAGTATAAAGGCAGTTCAATGAAGACAAGCATGAGAGCCAAAGGCAAGAGTTGCTCCAAGGGAGAAAGGTGCAGAGACACATCTAAGCCAGCAGAGTTTCCAGGAATGAAAAGCTCCCCCCACCTCAAACAGGCCACATCTGCCTGCATACAGAGCCTCTCTGCAGGAAACAGAGGACAAAGGATAAGGCCAAAAGGATGAGACAAGAAGACCAGTCCCAGAATTAATCTCCAGCTCTGAAGATGAGTTAATGTATTAAATAAAACCTATAGCCAACTGGAGTTCAATTTTCCCATACAATTTTCAGGCCTTTAGAGGTCTGAAAGCAACAGAAACCAGACCGAGAATGTCAACACCAAAATACTTCCAAAGTGACTGTGCTG